TCTTACCCAAGGTTTTTCAGGAAGCTGTCTCTTGTTTTCTTAGGAATTAAATTATGAATACACTGCATGCATATGTTCTTGAATTTCGCCCAAACATCAGTAACATCCCCGCCATGAAAAATGCTTACACCAAAGTCTAAAACGCTTTCGTCTCTGGCGTGCAAGAAATCAATAATGGTAACCTTTTTACATCTATTTTCACTACTTCACCATGGCCGACAAGAAAAATACACAATGTAATGATCCGAAACACCAGGTTCAACAGATACAGAGTAGTCGTCAATGGCTTTACTAATAAAGACAAGATCAAGCATAGTCACCGATAGAACACGTGTCGGTTGACTGAAAATTTGTTGTAAGTACGGTGGTACAAAACAATCTTGATGAAACATTCTATGCTCCCATTGAATTTCTGGTAGATAAAAATCCCGACAAGAAACATCTTATGGCGAGGAAACAAGGCTATGTGTTCGCGCAGGTCATGCAAGAACTGTGGAGGTTAGCACGCCTGCTTTCTTCTTCCAAATCAGTCAGCTTCGTTTCCAAGGATTCAACTGTATATCCCAGAACGTCAATGCGAGTGATTGGTTTTTTTAATCTAAAAATCGAGCGACCTAATCAACCATCAGTTTTATTTTCATATGACTTTGACGTGCTCGAAGTGCCGCCATATCATCAGCATTGTGTTTTGTCCGGACAACAGCGCTTTTAACAAGGATTCAATGCCAATTCAGTTCAATGTTGCCACATATTGAAAGCAAGCACGTGCAGAACAACATCATGTACAATGTTAATCAACCATTAGTGGGCTCAGCAAGACCAAAAAACCGCGATGATTCCTTTTAATTGAGCTCTAGTAGCCACTGACGTGCACAAGACAGAAGAATATCTTATAAAACAGCATTCTCGTCGTTGGTCTACCGTGCCACTCAAAGGGTAGAACCGTCGGTGGTGCCGTATAAGTTGGTTCGCACTAGTCACATGATGAGGTTTATGCGTGTGCGCACAGCAACACAAATATGGTCCTGTTGAGAAGAGGCTGGTGCGTCTTCCGTGACGCGGCACAAGGTCGATGGCGCGTGGCAACGACGGCTCACTGTTGCTGTAGCTCCGCTTCGGTTCTTGTTGATTTGTCATTCCGGTGAAGCCACGAAAAAGCTCCCGCATAAGACACGAGAATGGCTTATGAGGAGAATGGCTTTATTATCATGGCGCGGAAAAATCTCCTTACAGTCGCGAATAGTGCGGTCATAATTACTCACTTCCTCTCGGTACGCACAGTTTTAACAGTGCCACACAACTCACGAGCCGTAAAGACGTTACGCGCGTTACTTCCACCTCAGCTGAAGCGCCTCAAACTATTATGGGTGCATGCAAGGTCACTGTGGATTAAGGTTAGATGAAATGGCTGGTTTCTTAGCGTGAGCATCGCTTGATGGCCTAAAAATTAATGTTCTTCCAGAAATAGAATGAATTACAGCTATCAGATTTAGAAACCTTGCCATTTGAAGTGATAGGATGAAAGCTATAACATGGACAGAATATCAGCACCTAAAATTTCCACAGAAGACTCAATGGACTCATTCTCGGCGAGCCGAAGTTGCGATCACGAGATTTCGATGCCGTGTGTTCCCTTTGAACATTTATTTGCTCATGGCCGCTTTGTCGATACCACCCCTCTGTCAATTCTGAAGGTATGTAGAAAACATCCGGAACATTACTTTTTGACATGTCGCAAATACGAATATATTAGAAGATACTACTTGATACTCCGCTTTTAAAGATAGGGAAAAAAATTAACTGCGGGTATTATATACCTATCCTCGGTTCCTCGGGTTTGGGACATTGCCAAAGGAATGTTTTTGATGCGGCTTGCAGTTATTGATTTGATATGTGGGGTTTAACGTCCCAAAACCACCATATCATTATGAGAGACGCTGTAGTGGAGGGCTCCGGAAATTTCGACCACCTGGGGTTCTTTAACGTGCACCCAAATCTGAGCACACGGGCCTACAACATTTCCGCCTCCATCGGAAATGCAGCTGCCGCAGCCGGGATTCGAACCCGCGACCTGCGGGTCAGCAGCCGAGTACCTTAGCCACTAGACCACCGCGGCGGGGCGAGAATAAAAGTTCTCGCTCATCCAATGATTCTCATGTTTTAATTAAATTGTGTGCATAGATGCACATTAGCATCGCGTGCTTGCCGCTCTAGTGGCGCAGCTTACACGAAGCTCATCGATGGATGCAAACGACGCGTTAAAAAAATAACAACGTATGGGCTCAGAGACGAGCGTGCACATATAAGTTGTCTCGGAGGCTTTATAATATTGCTAGTCACTATGAAATGGCCTTCGAGACAGTCGTTTCTGCGGCCTGCCATCTCTGAGAGTGCGAAGTTTCCCCAGACCCATTTGGTGTGCTGCGAGGCCAAATCAGCCGCAGGGGCCTATGGAAGTGTCCTCTCTTAACCTTTTATATTAATCTTTGTCTGAACCGTGCGCAGTAATCTTGGAACTCTCATACGAACTGTTTGCACTAATCCAATTAAGTGTCACGCACAGCGCCACGCATGTGCGAGGATCATAAGCGTATCCTCGCACAGTGGGCGGGGAGCGAGCTTCTAGCTGAGAAATAAACAGAGAAAAGTTAGAAGGCGGTGCCCTCCTCATCCCCACTTTGGACAATGGTCATTGCTGCGGTGCAGGCCGCTTATGTGATGCTTTTGCGCCTTCTGCTCCAGCATTGCGGAACATGCTACCACTTGCACAGGCGTTCCAAAGGAATTTTCAGGAGAAACTGCTGCAGTTATTTCGAAAAGGGCGCTTTGCTCCCCCAAGGGATAAAGTGTGTGCAAAAGTTGGCACACGGCATGACGAGAAGCGGCCCTTGTGAAGGAAAGCGTCCTCAACAATTGTGACAATGGTGTCGTTATGGCTCGCACTCGCGTGCAGCCGTTGTGCGCTGGCAATACATAAAATATACAACCAACTATTAAAAATACAAGAAATTAACCCTGTCTATCAGAACAGTCGCATCTACCGAGAAAAAGTTTGAAGGGACATATTTATTTAGAATCATAAATCAAACTTTGAAAAATATAGTGGCATTAATTACACCCCAAATATAGGTTTATTACACTCACTTTTAAATCAGATGTTACAGATTCCAAACAGTTTTTTTTCCTTCATTACAGCGAAAGCTGTCGTGAAGTTTCCATAAGCAACATTTTTGGCGCCGTAGTTGACCTACGCCGCCGCCTGTATCCGCAACCACTATCGCGCAAAATAAAAAACTACAAAAACTATGGGCCGTCTTCTCGAAGGGAACCAGATGGTATGCTAAGCAGTAGCGGTGTGCAAGGCGTTGACCCTGTTCGAACGGGCGCCGACGCGGGTGCTGGAAGAACGGTTTGATGCGAAAATTGGTGTAGCGCTTACTCAAGTAAACGTTTGTTTGAAACGCATAGACACGGGAGGCGGGACGCGTTGAGGACGCCTGTGCTCGGCTTTCTTGGCTCGCGTCTCGTCGGTGTTACCCGCACGCCGTCTGTATTCTCTAACGTGATCGGTGTTCTTGACCCGCACCTCGTTGGTGTCGCTGGTCTGCCACTGCTAACGCTTGCGTTCGGCTTCCCTGGCTCGCGCCTCGTAAGTGTTGACGTCGCCATTTGCAAACGCGATCGGCTGCGCTAGCCCTCGCAACGCCGGCGACAGCTGAGACAAGTAGGCGCACACTAGCGGGAAGCATGCTGCGACGGCGTCCCGCTCGTCGGCACGATCGCGCGACATGCAGCGGCGTGCTGTCCTCATCTTCGGCGCTGCGAGACTCTCAAGGCGCGCGCAGCTCGCGCGCCCGCCAGCTCGCGGCTTTTCACCGACAGATGAAGAGAGATGGCATGAGTGAGGTGATGCCCATGTGAGGAGTGGGATTGAGCGTTGCGTGCGGGGGAGAGGGTGAAGCGAGAGAAAGCTGACACGCGGAGAGCGCGTGGCAGGCGGGGGAGAGAGACGTCACCACGCACTGCTAGGAGGGCGTGAGCTACTTGGCACCGCTCCTACATCTGCAGCGAGGGGGAGCTGTGTGGACGGAGGGACAGAGTTACACAGGCTAGTCAGAGTTGCTTCGCATCTAATAAAGCAGCACATTATGAAAATTAAATATTTTTACTGGTTTACTTTTACGCCGTGGCACGGCCTTCAGTGTTCATTCTGACGAATACCATGCCATGACCGGCGAAATGTAAATCAGTGAAAATATTTTGGTGTGCTCCTTTATTTCGTGACTATACGTGCACCGGACCTACAAAATTTTTTAAAACCAGATATATACAATATTACGGCCGACAGAGCGAGGGATGTGCCCCTCCCCCACGTCATGCACTCCTCATGAAAAAGACACACACACACACACACACACACACAACAAAACACACGAATGCACGCACGTACACATCAAAAGCACACAGCGTCCGCAAATTTCTTGTCTGGGTGGCTTTAAAGATGTCGGTTGTCAGTCATAAGATAATCACATCATTATGAACTATGGAGTGACGTTTATTATCATCCGGCCGTTGGACACGCTGGCGTGTTACGGCAAGCAGTGCACGTGTTGAACCATTTTTCGAGCAGCCTAGCCCGCCGTCGGCTGGCTAGTCAAGTGCGACGCTACTGTTACCACGAGAAAGAATTACATAAAACGTGATAATTTTTCGAAAAAAAGAAGGTACACTTGCGTACCAACAAAGCTTTGCCCTGAATATTCTCCTCGCGGTAAGTTTTTACGAAAGATTTTTGTGGATAAGGTATTAAGAGAATCAAGTACTGGGCAGCGCGCTTCATTCGGGTATTTGAACCAAGATTTTTAGGTGATTTATACGAGTAGTTGGTTGTTGCTGAATACGAAGTTTTTAACACTTGTGTTGCTTTGAATTGTCTTTCCATGCAAACTTGTTTGGTGTGGAAATGAAATCATCATGTTTCACTATGCTCGATAACGTAGGCGTCAGCCCTGTCCGAGCATCTGCCTGAATGCTGCTACTTCGAGGAAGTGTTTCCCTACATTCCAGACGTCACCGTGCGCCTTCTCACTCGTATGGTACACAAACTGCAGGTGAGTGCTGCGTTCACCTGAACTCGGCCAAAACAATGGTGTGTGGCCTGTGTAGTGTCGGACAGTGCTATACATGCATATATCTCATGCAAATTACTTCTGATACTTTATAGATAGTGTACCTGGTTCTTCGTTGTTGGACGCTCTGCCCTGATTTGTCCTTTTTGCATGCCACGAGCGCTATTTGCAGTCGATGCTGACTGACAAAAAACCATTAACTGTTCTGTATATTACTATATTTAATTACATTGTGGCGCTACTGAAAGGAAGGGTTGTCTGCTGAGTGTACCGACAATGTATGACATAATGTCATAAGGCCACATATATATAGTGTAAAGAGGGTTTCCCTATCTGGATGACATATAGACATTTAACGCATTCGCACGCACAAACACACACTAGAACACACTACAACGCGGGCACGAGCACACAAAAAGTACATAAGAACGCATGCATACGCAAGTACAAAATTTCATATATTAAAAAAACTCTATGCAACGATAGGGCCACAGATTTCTCATGTTGCCAACGAGACCCACAATATGTATGTATACATATAAAAAGGACATCTCTAGAATAGTTGCGGTTCCTCAGGAGTTTCGGCTCGCGCCTAAATGTTAGTGTACTGGTGTTTCCGACTTCGATCTTCGTGAGGATAAGGCCACCACTATACCAAGATGCAATCCCACGACATTGCGCTGAGAAAGCCATTCTTACGTCAACTGTTTTTTTTTTCTCCTATTTCCAAGTTGCGCTACTTTTCACGATACGTGGTCACTTACTGAATTCATTTACGCAACCTTTACCCAGCTGAGTTTTCACAGTAATAATATCAAACGAAATTCTGTTAAAAGAACTTACACGTCTGTTGTCACGCAAGTTTTTTTTTTTTTTATGAAAAAGCTGCCGTCTACACAGGCATTTTTTCCTGGTGCATTGTGTCGTTGCGGCAGCTTTCGTCTAAGAATGAATGTAGTCTATGATACATGCATGAATAAAGGACTATTCGCGAAAGTAGCAAAAGAAACACGATTCTTCGTTGTAAACTTCTTGATCTACTCAAGCGATGAAAAGCACTGCATCACTCGAGTGCTTAAGCCAGTTTTGATGTTTAAAGTCCAGCCAAATGGTTTGTTTGTTTGTTGTTTGTGTGTTTGTTTGTTTGTCGGTCAGTCGGTCCTTAGTGTCGTGGCACAACCCACCTTAGTAGATAGGCTATATCAAATGGACAGTACCTTATTTTGGAGTTACTACATTGTTTACGTGCCGAGTACGTTTAGAAATAGTTCTTTTAAAACAGAGCATATCTTTAAAACAAGTATCAAAGGTATATAATAAATAAAATAAAGGAAAAACTCAACGAGCTAATAGGCTTGAAAATAAAGTGAAATTATACCCAAACTTAACATTCTGTTCGTTTTGTTTCGCGTATAGAAAATCGCATGCGGCTTGAAAAACGTTCCTGTGGCTAAAGGCCACTTCTATTACCCCAAAGAAAAGAAGTACCGGAAGGAATAAATATAAGGCCTTCCTACGGAGAGGTTTATTTGCAAACAACCTGCATGCTAAAAGGAAATGATGCGAGACTCACTCTCGTTGCAGTGAAGGCACAGGGGTGACTGTACCAGACCAGACATATAAGTGATTCTAGTTTCACAAAACATTCTCGTCTCTTCGCCGCTTCGCCTCTTTCCCGCAGAAAGAACGGATGAAGGACTGCAAGGAGATGGTGCAGGGTGACATGCGGACGCTCGAACAGATGGAGTCGCGTACGTAACAAACGCGCCGCACGGCGAATGGTCTGCATGAACCGATTCCTGTCCCTCCGCCCTGGCACGGCAGTGATGTTCCGTACTACGCCAAAAAATTCCCATTCAGAGACATGGAAATTCCCTGGTTCGGGTATGCTTCTCTGCAAGTATTCGCGAAATTCCCAGCCTATTTCCCTGCACAATGCAGTACTAATTTACGCCCCACATCCACGCACGCACATTACTCTAATTACACGTGTCTGACGCACTGGCGACTTTTGAAATCATGACTGGCCCCTCCACTGCCGCTCAACAAAAGCATGACTTCATTGATTCATATACTATTAGTACACTGCATATTGTGGACTGCAAGTCTAACACCAGTTGTAAACTAGAAATCGCTGCGCGTAAGTATGAGAAATAAATCTCAAGGGCTATGCTTGCGTTGTGCATGCGCCAAAAAAAAAAATAATTAGAACAGACGAAGGCGCACTGTGACCGCTGATTATCGGTTGTCATAGGACAATTTAAGCATTCCTGAAATTTCCTGCAATATCACGAAGATTCCCTTTTTCTCTTTGGCTCCAAAGGAGAGGGCGGAAATTCCCCGAAAGAGGGGAAAATTACCTGCACGGAACATCACTGCTGCACGGAGCCATGGAAATTAAAAGACCCGAGCGTATACGGGCGCAACAATCAGCCCCACCTTTCCACATCCATTCCCATTTCCTTAATGTGTAGCTTAAACAGGTGGGAGGGGTCTTACGTGCCCCGGGGTGTAAACGCGAGAAGGTGCACCGACCAAAATATCTAAGTATGAGTGAATTATGAGTAGGCGAAGCTAAGGTCAATAATGTCTACGTTGAAGTCACTAACTAGTACGAATGATTCATACTTGCAGGGGTTATATCTTGTTCTGTCACAATTATTATCGGTAGTCGTTCATTGCTAAACATTTTTGTGTGTGTCTCGGATATACCGTACGTCACACGAGCGTTGCCCCATATACTGTAGCCGTGGCAAGGGACACCGGACAAGCCTCACTCTGAAGGTTCTTCGCTCCTAAAAGCCCAAATTGTTTTCTTACGTTTCGGCTACCTGTAGCGGAGCCTTGTCACAATAAAATTTCAATAGACTTTCGTTGTGAGCAAGGCTCCCGTATGGGGAGCGGGAAAGTCGGTAAACAATATGTTCATATTGGTCAGTGTATCTTCTCGCGTTTACAGTATGCAGTTCTACACGGCCAGATTTCTTGCCATCACACTTTGTATTTCATCCATCAGAGAGTCTTTATGAAGGCTTTTATCGTTTTCTGCTCAATTCCTCACTCTTTTGTAGGCCATGTCAACTAATTTCGGTGTATAACTGGAAAGCAATTAGTGAACACGAAATTGGGGATAAGTTTATTGGTTCCTATATATAATATGATAGATTAACTTTTATCTTTACTAATATTGCCTAAAGTTATTGGCTGTTTCAATTTTGAAAGTTTTAAGTCATTCCGACGTCCGTTCGCCTGGGTAACGCGATAAAAAAAATTACGTCCTAATAGCTACTTGTCGTTTTTCGCGAAACTGGCAAAATTTAGGACTACTGAGTCAATAAATAAGTATAGGATGCAATAACGGCTTTGTTATTTCTTATAGCGGTAATCCTCTACTTTAGCCCACCGCGGTAGTGTAGCGGTTACAGCGCTCGGCTGCTGACGTGTAGGTCGCGGGTTCGATTGCAGCAGCAGATGTCAGATTTATTTGGAGGTGAAATGGTAGAGGACCGTGTACTGTGCAATGTAAGGGCACGTTAAGAACACCAGACGGTCGAAGTTTCCGGCGCATACGGCGTCTCTCATAATCATATCGTGCTTTTGGGACGTAAAACCTGAGATATTATAACAACTATCTGCTTTACAAAATCCCCAAAACCTCTCTTTGGGCAGCTTACCCTTAGCTGGCAGAGCAAGTGGAGACCAAGAGCAGTGCGACTTGGACAGAATGAGGATATATGTGAAGAGCAGGGGTTAACTGTTCTCTAAAACTTCGTTTGCACGTCAGATGAATGGGCGCATGAGGTAGACTATAAGCACACTCGCACTCGAGCTGTCATTAATACTATATGCGTAGTATTAAGGTATGCACGTCGAAGGCTCATGCCAGTGATTGCATTGCACGAGACAGAGGGGCCACAGAAAGTTGAAGCACTTCTCTGTAACCTTCTCTCAAACCTCGCAGACTCGAATGACATAATGAACGACGCGGTAATGCTGCCAAAGTTCCATGCCAGCTGGGCCACCGTCAAGTACATTTTAGGGGAGGAAAACGTGCCTTCCTTGCTCGACGGGCTGGAAATATTCGGCAAGGTATAGTTGCACTTGATCGTATCCTTTCGGGAGTCACCGCGGAGGGCTCGCTATGTGTTCGCGTTTTCTTTTCAGATGGTAATCAACAGGTTCTGCATAACGGACAGCGACTTAAAGCCAGTCGGTCAAGGCCTGTACATCGGGTGAGTTTTACTGGTACACCTTAAAAAAAAAAACTCGCGCTTTGTGCGGGTGTGTTTGTAGACCCCCACCTTTTTTTTTTTGCTTAGTTAATCAAGATTCTATAGACGCGACAGTTTCCCACGCTTACCTGTCACGCCTACTGGTAATGATCAGTAAACTCTGCTCGCGCCTTACCAATCGTTACACAGGTCACTCCTCTCGCGCTTGTTAGGCAGGAACCAATATCGTCATCCGTGAATCTCACAGTGGAAACGTAACTAACTTTTTAAGGGACACTAAAGTGAAACCATTGATCGCCTTATATTGATAAATTGTACTATAAAATATCTATGCCGTTAATTTCGCTACCATAAAGGTTTTTAATATAGAAAAAAAAGTAAAGTTAACGCTTCATTTTTAAAATTCGTAGCGAAATCTCCGTGCGTGACGTCATGGATTTAGGAGTATTTTTCGCATATTGTCCATATATTGACTAAACTAAATTACCTGAAGCTGTGTGTGTTAAATCAGTGACCCCCTCAGATGTCAATACACTCCATCCTTACCCATTAGGAAATACTTTTTTTTTTTTATTTGAAACAAAACCCGCAGCGCCACTTAGGCATTATTGCGGCATTATAGACTCCGTCAAAATCGACCACCGTGATGTGGTCGATTTTGACGGAGTCTACTACTTACCTAGTAGACTCCGTCAAAATCGACCACATCACGGTGTTTTGTGCGTAAACTTCAAGTTGGTGTCGCCAACCGCTTTTTCTTTTTGCGCGTTTTCTTTTTTTTTTTTTTTGCTTATCGAGCATTGTGCCACGGCAAGCATGGTGATTTGTGGACTGTGAAAGAGTATTTTATTAATAAGAAAGAAATGGGTTTCGATTCTAGTGATTTAACACAAAAACACTACCGCAGCGGTGGCTACATGGTGAGACCGCCCGCTACCAATGTGGGAGGTGCCGGGTTCGATTCCCAGTGCTGACCGGGAGAGAGAAATAAATAAAAGGAAGAGACAGGGAGGTTAACCTAGACGAACTGGTTTGTTACCCTGTACGGGGGTGGAAAAAAGGGTCGGAAAGAGGATAGAAATAGAGAGATAAAATTAAATTCGAAAAAAAAAGGGAACCCACCGGTTTTTCCAAATGGGTAGAGGAGTTCACCAATCTGGCACTCGGTCGTTTCTGGGTGCTCATCTCGAAAGGTGGCCCTATAAGGTTCTGCGAAGGCCCCTGGGCGTACCTTAACCCACCACAGCCTTGGTGAAATAGCTGAGCGTCCACCGCTGCTGTGGGAGGCAGAGAATCGCAGCCGCCAGGTTCCTACTGATTAAACAGGTGCAAGCGCACTTCCGTCCTGGTGCTCGGCAGAACGAAGTTGCAGCCGCTTGGGATGGCACTCACCCTATGAAAAAGTGGCGGCATGGAACCGCCAGACCTAAAAATTAAGGTCATTCTCTTTTCTTTTTGTTCTTAGTGTTGTACAAAAGCGGACGGAAACGTGAGTATCGAGAACATTTTTGAGATCGTGTGCAACGATTCGAGGAATTCGAGAATATCGAATGATTGGAGTGTTTGCTCGCGAATGTCCTTGCGTACATTTCTTTTTACCTTTGTGTTGGGAGAGTCGAGCAGAAGGCTTGACCCCTTTCATATATAGGTCATTCAAGAGTGGCTCGCTCGAATCGTTGCTAAAGATAATTAACCCTGTGCGCACGATCTCGAAGTTGTTCTCAGCATCCACGTTTGCGTCCGCGTTTCTAAACAACGTTTTAAAAGAGTCGCTATAGCGAGAAAAATGATTTTCTTCATATTAGTATGTTACTCTCTCACACTTGAAAAAGTCACCACGATTGTCTTGAGACGACACTAGATAATCGAGAAAACTGAGTATATTCATATAGGTGAAATAATGTTCACAGTATACTAAATTCATGATGGAATTTTCTGACAAAGTGAAAATGGGCTAGATCCCATTTATGAGACACTGGTAGTTCACCATTAGCATTGAAAACGAAATTGTATAAGCAACGTGCACACTCTATCAGTAACTCATTGGACTGAAGTATAAAACATCAGAAATCTTGCCAGCAATTCGAGAGCCAAGCAACGAACGATAAGATGAAAGATGAGATGCTTAACGTAAAAGGTAGGTGTCAATATTTCACAACCATGTGGCCAGATGCTAATATTGTATAGTTGAGAAAAGGCGAAGGTGGACAGGTCGTGTATTGCGTATATGACTGATAGTGGAAACTTATCAGTGTGACAGGATGCCATAGACGGCCCCATCGCGGTGGTCTAGTGGCTAAGGTACTCGGCTGCTGACCCGCAAGTCGTGGGATCGAATACCGGCTGAGGCGGCTGCATTTTCGATGGAGGCGAAAATGCTGTAGGCCCGTGTGCTCAGATTTGGGTGCACGTTAAGGAACCCCAGGTGGTCGATATTTCCGGAGCCCTCCACTACGGCGTCTCTCATAATCATATGGTGGTTTTGGGACGTTAAAGTGAACATATCAATCATCAAGAATACAATAGACTGCTGCTACTGATAATGATAACAAGTATGCGTTCTGATAAGCAAGCAAGCGGCTAACTCCTTAGCTTACAGCTGTAAGTGATTTGTGGGGTTTAACGTCCCAAAACCACTATTTTGATTATGAGAGACGCCGTAGTGGAGGGCTCCGGAAATTTTGACCACCTGGGGTTCTTTAACGTGCACCCAAATCTGAGTACACGGACCTACAACATTTCCGCCTCCATCGGAAATGCAGCCGCCACAGCCGGGATTTGATCCCGCGACCTGCGGGTCAGCAGCCGAGTAACTCCTTAGCTATATGATATACTAAATCGAATTGATTCACTGATTCGTGGCTACACAACAACCTGTACGTCGAGTCTTTGATAAGAGGGTTTAATATTCGCCCTACATTCTATAACTGCACGGCGAGAAAACGTCTATAGTCTGCACACAAACCTTTATGTGGAATTTATAAGAAAACGTCTTGATCGCACTCACTGCGACATCTAGCATCAGTTTCGTGTTTTATGAGCTTGCAGGCTGCCCTACTTTGTGGTATATTTATATTTGTAAGTCACCCCATCATCTGTGGGGATGAGAAATGCTCGTAATACGCAGGTTTATATTGTTAGTATGCAGAGGCGTGCACTGAGTTCCCCTTCAGAGCTGGGGAGGGGGAGAGAGGTTCGTGGCAGAACATTCCTCCCCCTCTCAGATGACTTGGATAGGAGGGGCGTGCTAAGCATGCTCCAGAGCAACGTACTTCTTCCTTGACCTCAAAAAAAAAAAAAACAGAGGAAAACGCAAGAAAGCATGCGAACGAAGGCTACAAGGCGTGTCCCGTTTTGTAGACAGCTAACTCTGTTTAGCGTAGGTACCGTTTCTGCACGATGGGAGATCGCTGAGAAAGGTCTTCCGCGTGCAGAGGACACACAAATAAGGTCGATAACAACATTGATCCACATCTGACAGGTACAGTAACGCGCACATTGCCGGCTGGTGGTCGAGCGCCTTCAACTCACTATAGCTTATCACGGTGTACCTCATGTCAGCAGCTTCTACGTGTGTGCAGGCACGTGCGCAAATTTAAACAAGCGCACACGACATCTAGTTTTGTTCGGCTAACTAGTGAATGCAATTGCAGCCGGCTGACGTTGGGCATTCTGAATAGAAACTTTCGCTTCTTCGAACACAGGGCATCCATATTTGATCATTCCTGCGACCCGGATGCGGCCTACGTGTTCCAAGGAACGCGTCTCACGATCAGGGCAACCAGGAGCCTTAGCGTGAACAGCGTGCGAGAGGTAGGGCGCACACTTGCATGCGTATTCGAATGGGATATAACTTGCTCGTTCTGCGCGTTCATTTTTCTGTGAGAGATTGACGTTCGCGACGGCCCTTTTCCCCGCATCCTACAAAACAGATATACATCTGCTACGTGGACAGGCTTCTTCTCAAAGAGGACAGGATAGCAGCGCTGCAGAGGCAGTACTACTTCACCTGCAACTGTGTCTTCTGCCAGGAGGTACGATTTATTGATTGACGCGCTCCGTTTACGTAGTACACGTTTATGTAGTACACTGAGATGGTAACGCGTGAATAGTCTGGCACTTTGTGAGTACGTGCATGCATGTGCGTCGCCACTCAAGAGTATATTTGCCGGTGCACGAATTTGTACTTGCTAGGAAGTGCTACTGCATTTATTAAGTATAGTATGAACTCGAACAATAACGCCCTGAAAACACGTGATCTTATCGTCTGTGAGAACACGCGGTGCTATCGACTTTGTAAGGTCCACTTCTGTAAGCGCAGAGTGCTTCAGGCTTTATATGGCGCACGTGTTATGAGTTGTCAGTGCTTCGCTTGCACTGACAACTCATTGTGAAGCTCTGGGGCCTAAACTCACAGTGTTTATTTTTTGTACGCACTCCATGCCATGCACAGCTAGGCCAGTCACCTTCATAAAGAATACGCCCAGCGTGTTTACATGTTAATTTGTTCTTAGAAACAATCCTAACGTAAGCTAATTTTGTGTCCTGATTTTTCAGTTACCAAGACTTCAGGCCAATTGCAGAAGAGCTTTGCTTGAGAGTTGCTGAGACATATTATGGGGGGGGGGGGGGGAATTGAAAAAAAATAATTAAGGCAAAACAACACGCATCGACAAGACAGGCTGTGTGTTTTCTTTCGTGCCTAATTCTTTCGTATATTTCTAGCAGGGAAAACCCTCAATACATGTATACATTACGTTTAACTTATACTAAGATTTTCTGTGGCTGTCAACGTGACTCACACGAAACCCACAATCCCAACCTTCCGCTCACCCATTTCGTGTTTTTTTTTCTAAGAGTAGATTTTGGCAATCCTAATGCTGGCCATATTATAAGCGAAGGTGACAAATCCAATTACTAGAACAGCTTGGTATATGTGTCAAGTCTCGACTGTACAATGTAACTCCTCATGGTGCAAACTCTAGTAAGGGACTTTCAGTGTTGATCTAAAGCACATCTATAAAGTTCAACGTGACCAAATAGAGCAGGGGAACGTATCCATTTGTGCATGCGTCCTTGAACTTTGATCGTCGCCATGAAAAGTCATTCTTGCTTCGGTGTAGCCGAGTTCTTTGCGAGTCAAGTGACAGTGAGCTCTCTGGCCACTGGGACACGAAACCATATTTGCTTGCTTGAAACCCAGTGTTGTATGCGTTACCGCAAAAAAAGTAACTAAATACGCTACTCGATCGATACACACTCACAAAAAAGAACGCGTACCGCCCTATGTTACCTCCCAAAAAGGTAACGCGTTATTGTTACCATTACCCTAAAAAAGTAATAGATGTTACCACTCCCATTACTCTGCAATGATAAGTTTTCATCAATGTGCTTTTGTTGCAGAAACCCAAAGCAATATTTTTATCTCAAACTTATTTCTTTCATAAAACGTCTAACCCAAACAAGGTTAATACTCAATATGCTCAATTAATGAGACTTATTATTACAGATTTTAATGAAACAGACCTTGTCAATTATGCTAATTATGCTATAGTAGCTTAAAAATGCCTCTAAGTTACATGTGATAGATTCTGACTGTCACATGGTGAAGCCTTTTTTCTCAATGTGACATGATACTCAATATCAGATTCAATCATCCCCGCTGTCAGCAAAGAATGCATCAGTGAACTGTCATTAAGAAGTTCACAGTAGTCGGCTCTTTCTGGGTGTGAAAAGCTCCTCCAGTGGAGATTGTCGAAATCGAAACTAGTGGTCCTTAATTGGCCTCCGAAATTGCCCGCAGTGCTCCGGTAGGCAATCGCGGAGGGCTGCATTGGTGCCTTTTCTTTCCCTCTTTTTTGGGAGGAGGGGGGAGATTCACACGTTTATGGCATCAAATGCCGCTTGATCCGCACCTGTTGTCTCATTCTTGCACCGAAAATTGGGCGCATGCGCAATCTGCCAACCTGGAAAAGGCTTATTTTGACAGCGTGCTTGTACTAGTGAAACAGATACGCAAATACGTAGATTGATTGATATTTGGGGTTTAACGTCCCGAAACCATTATATGATTATGAGAGGTGCCGTAGGGGGGTGGGGGGGGGGCTTCGGAAATTTCGACCACCTGGGGTTCTTTAACGTGCACCCAAATCTGAGCACACGGGCCTGCAACATTACCGCCTCCATCGGAAATGCAGCCACCGCATCAAATTGTAAAATACTATGTCTATTTAGGGCAGGTAATAACCGCAGAGCCGAACCACGAGATTGAAGTAACTAGAAGAAAAGGAATGAGGTGGAGCACATTCGGCAAGCACTCTCAAATTATGACAGGTAGATTGCCACTATTCAAGAGGAAGGTATATAACAGCTGTATCTTGTCGGTACTTAGCTACGCAGCAGAAACCTGGAGACTTACAAAGAGGGTTCAGCTTAAATTGAGGACGACGCTGCGAGCAATGGAAAGAAAAATGGTAGGTGTAACCTTACGAGACAAGAAGAGATCAGAGTGGATTATGGAACAAACGGGGGTTAAGGATATCATAGCTGAAATCAAGAAGAAGAAATGGACATGGGCCGGGCATGTAGCGCGTAGACAGGATAACCGCTGGTCGTTAAGAGTAACTAACTGGACTCGCAGAGAAGGCAAGCGGGTTTGGGCGAGACAGAACGTTAAGTAAGCAGATGAGATTGAGAAGTTTGCGAGTATAAGTTGGCAGCAGCAAGGACCGGGTTAACTGGCGGAACGTGGGAGAGGCCTTTGTCCTGCAGTGGACGTAGTCAGGCTGATGATGATGATGATGATGATGATGATGATGATGATGATGATGATGATGATGATGATGATGATGATGATGATGACATGCGGTGTACTAGTGAGAGTTGTTAAAAGAAGCACGTTCTCGCTGCGAGTAGAAGGTGCCCTTGTGCGCCGGAATGGATCCGTACACACTTCGACCTGGAACGGACACTACTTCAAATAACTAAGCCATCGCAGAGGTGTCGCACGGTGACATCGTGGATTGTTTTGTTTTCAGCACCAATTTTGTAACTTTGGCGAATTGAAGGCTTTCAAATCAGTGGAAGCGTACTACTTCACCAGCGGCTGAAAAAAAAAAAAACCTGTCGCGACCGTAGAGTGATTATCGTCGCAGACGTAAGTTCAATGGTTCATCAAATCCATACATACGCTAGCCCCGACTTATCAAATAGCGATGCATGACACACTGCCAAACCAACAAATGCTGATGTTTGCGCTCAGTTCTCACGCGTGCACAGTGACGTACTCACGCGGCGGCGCGTTTTTCGATTGCGCCTCCCCGTTCGCGTGTTGCTGTTTCTTTTGTCATAAACATAGCCGCACGTTACGTGTGCGTGAACGAAATACTGAAAATTTAGTCACTGCGTGGGGACTATCATCGAGACGGAGCCGGATTCGGATTCATCTACACGAACGGATGCCTTGATCTTGTTCAGCAGCAGATATGCGCGATGAAAGTTCTAAGCGGGAAAAAGAAAGATGAAAGTGCAATGTACTAATTCGCGTAGGTCATATGGAGGATTTCCTAAGGACAGAAGGGTTCATAATGCAGAATTACGTCGGTGCTTTTGTGACGATTTCGTGTCGGTGACGACCGTCCAGTCGAGAGGTTGACTTCGTGAGAACAGCCACAGTGGCGCCGTCCCATGCTGTTCGAGCCCGTTCAACAAAAGGGTTGTCTAGCGAAGCCTTCGTTCAGACCCGGCCACAGAGAACTACCTGGGACCCCTACAGGACGTCTTGCTGACTGGGTACCGATGGGGTTGAAAGCATCCTAGCAGTACAGCTTACGCACAATGGCGTCTGCCCAGACGAACTGCCGGGCCAAACGTAACAATACTAAGTGTCATTCACCTGTGGAAAATACTCGCATACCAGTGGCACATACCCGTCCGTAGGTATGTGCCACTGTCTGGCGGAAAGTGGTAATGTCTTGATCAGCGCGTCGTATTCGTCAAACCATCTTACCTTCCCATGCTAACTTCGGTTCACGCCAAGCTAAGGGGGCGACCACAACAGCGTAAGCGGACGGAAGGACGGACGGACGGACGGACGGACGGACGGACGGACGGACGGACGGACGGACGACAGACAGACAGACAGACAGACAGATAGATAGATAGATAGATAGATAGATAGATAGATAGATAGATAGATAGATAGATAGATAGATAGATAGATAGATAGATAGATAGATAGATAGATAGATAGATAGATAGATAGATAGATAGATAGATAGATAGATACGCTCAAAGTCACCGAAGTTCGCTAAGAAATGCTTCGCATTTAAAACAGCTCCTGGTATTGAATGACAAGTTGCGTTTACCAGTCAATGGAGCCGCGCAGGCGGAAGCAGGCGCGGCGGGCATGAGAGGATAGTTGCATGCTGGGGGGAGGGGGAAGTGATTTTTAATGAAAAGAAGAGAAATGTGAGCCCCGTAACTGCCTCTCAGGGGGAGGACACCTCAACAGTAGCTCACGAGGGGGGGGGGTAAAGGAGGGATGAAAAGAATAGGATTAAAAGGTAAAGAGATAGAGAGGAGGAAAGAGCGAGGCACAGGGACAGCGAACGACGGAAGTGAGGAGAAGATAGGAAAGATGGAGATGGTCGCAGAAGTCTAAGGACGGCGAGAGCTCTTGTCAGCGCCAGGAGATGGCGTAGGGCGAGTCCAGTCAGCCAGAGCTACGCTGTCGTCGGGGATCGGCGCCAGGAGATGGCGCAGGGCCAGCTCAGTAGCCCAGAGCTGCGCTGTCGTGGAGATCGCGAGGGCACAACCTGTCGGCACGGAATCCAGCAAATACCCTTAGACAAAAACGAACACATACTATATAAACTAATCTAGGTAGTTTACCGTTGTTCCTGCAGCATCAAAGCCTGGCAAGCCCTTTCCTTACACACTACCCAAGAGCGTCTCACTCTGTGGTGAAAACTGACATTAAGAAGACAGCACTGCTTGCGATCATTTCGGCAGCGATGAAACGATAGAGCACGTT